AGGACCCCCACCACTCCCGGGCACTGAGACGGACCCCTCCCCGCTCCTCGCCAGGGGCAGCTTGGTGGCCGCCGAGTGGAGAGCAGAGGAGGGCTTCGTGGAGTTGAAGACTCCCGCGGTGAGCGGCGGGGCTCAGGGCAGGGGACCCGCCTTCTCGGTCCTCCAGGCTCTTTCGTGACACTTGCTCTGCGTCCCACACAGGGTAAATTCTGGCAGACCATGGGCTTCTCACAGCGGGGCCGGCAGCGGCTGCATCCCGAAGAGGCTTTATATCTGCTAGAGTGTGTGAGTGGTAAGGGGTTGGGACCCAGGAGCGGGAAGGATGCTCTTCCTGGAGAAGCATGCTCTAGTGCATTTTCGGAGAGCTTGTAACCGGGCCTCTAGAGCCAGAGAGAAGAATACCACCCAGGAAGCGGGGATCCCGGGCCAGATTAGCTGCTGCCCCCCTCTCCTGGCTGGTGTGTTCTTGCTGTGATGCTGGGAGGTGGGGGTGGCAGTGGGAAGCCAGGAAGTTGCCACCTCTGGCTGTGGCCCTGCAGGGAGGGCGCACAGCTGAGTTGTTGGGCCCACTTCCAGGGCTCTCTCCAGCTCTTCCACCAGGACCTGCCGCTGTCCATCCAGGAGGCCTACCAGCTGCTGCTGACCGAGGACACTGTGACTTTCCTGCAGTACCAGGTACCTGCCACATTCCCCTGGGAGAGGAGCCGCCTGCCCGCCAGTCAGTGAACATTGACAAGCACCTGTGAGATGCTAGCCACTGTCTTGTGCGGGGGCTACAAGATAGATACTGGCAGTGCTGTGTTGAGGCTTCTGTTCTAGTGGTGACACCTGGGTGATAAACAAATGGACCATTTTTCCTAGGAGGTGGCTACTAGGTAGAGGATAAAGTGAGGGGAAAGCGGTAGAGGTTGGACTAGTCATAAAGGTGATAGGGGCGTAGCCCACATTAGGGCTGGGGTGGGATTGCAGTGAGTGACCAGAATGGAAGAGGACCAGTAGGTGGTGTGGTGGTTGCAGTGCTAGATTCCCACATGGCGGACTGGTTCAGGTCCTGGACCTGGCAGCTTGCTTTCTCACTTTCTCTCTAGTGAATTAGAAAAAAATAAGTAAAATATAATAAGTAAATCTTTAGAAAGAAAAGAATAAGAATCTCAGAAGCATTTTAGAGAAGGAATGCCTAGGATTCTGTCCCCGGATTGGATGTTAAGGTGTAAGAGACTCAGGGATTGCTCCCGTGACTGGACGAGCAGTGGGTGAACCATGGTGTCACCTGGAGGATGGGACCAATCAAAGAGCTCTATTTTGGGAAAGTTTGTTTGACGTGCTTTTTGAATGTCCAAGTAAGGGTGTCAAGCAGACACACAGCCTGGAGTGTGAGGAGAGGTCAGGTAGGGGCATCAACGAGGACACCACTAGCATGTGGATGGTATTTCAGCATGGAGCCATTGAGGAGTGTGGCTAGAGAGGAGGCTGGCACCAAAATCTGGGGGCCCCCAATGTGAGGAGGTTGGGGGACAGAAGGACCAGAAACAGACAGCAGTGTTTGGCAGTGCTGGAGAAAAACCAGAAGTGATGTTGCAGAAGCTCTTTTTTTAAATTTAATTTGCCAGAGGGCCCATGCACTCACCTGAGAGATAGAAAGTGAGAGAGCACCCATGGGGAATGATCATCTGCTTCACCCCCTCCGGGGTTTGGAGCACATGGATATAAGTGCCTGACATGTTTCTCAGGATGCTGGGTCCAGGACTCTTAACCATGCACTCAGCCATGTGGGATCCAGCTGCCCTAACCACCATACCACGGGCTGGCCTGAGGTGTTGTAAGGAGGAGGTGGCCCACTGTGTTGCAGGCTGCTGAGACAAGCAAGATGGGGTGCGTGCATCCCTGTGGTGCAGTGGACGAGGGTGAATGCGTAGTTCGTTCATCCCTAAGGGCTGTCCCCTGTGTGTAGAGGTGTTGGTGGGCAGGCGCTCACCACCTTCTGCCATCTTTTTACCCAAATTGTGGACAGGAGCTTCACTCTAGCAGCTTTAGTACCAAAATGTTTTAGTACATAGCTTTTTTCTGGGTCCATAGTTACCAGCTTTTGGGGATTTGCACGTAAGAAGTTGTTAAACATCATTCGTGCCCAGAGTTAGGCATGTAAGAGGACAGGAATTCAGCCTGACACCTGACTTTGGGGCTGGTGTTTATAATGGAGTGTGGTCCCACCAGTCTTGGGTTTGGAACCTGCGAGTGTACCAGAGGGGTAAGGGAGGGGTATGGGGAATGACCTATGTCTGGACAGAAGAGTAGGCATTTCCCAGAGTGAACCTCTGAGCTTTACTTTTTTTTTCTTTTGAGGTCTTCAGCCACCTGAAGAGACTGGGCTACGTGGTTCGACGATTCCAACCAAGGTGAGGCCCTCTGCCTTTTCTCTCCCACTTGTTCTGTCCTGGGACCTGGCTGACTAACCCCAGTAGACAGCGGCCACTCCTCAACTAGAACTTCAGCTGGAGTGCGCCCCCGGACATGGCCTGGGGACTGTTGGAAGCACTCGAGAGGCATGTTGGGATGGATCCAGATCATTGCTCTTTATCTTGGGTTATCCGATTGAGACCCGTCTTCAGAAAATGATGGAGCGCCTATAGCTCCCTCTGAGCATGGAGCTGTACATACATGGTGTCTGGCACTTCATAGGTATGCAGGCAGGTTCAGATTTTTTACGTCAGGTTGTTCTTTCCTTCAGCTTAGCAGTCCAGCATTGCCAAGCGCCACAGAGACCTGGAGTCTTGGAGAACTGGGACAGCCTTTGCCGCTACACAGCACATCATAAAAGCTCTAGGACAGGCATATCCTTGATCTCCTCAAAATGGAATCTGGGGAACCAGTAGTTGGCATAATGGCTATGTCGCTGGACTCCCACGTAGTCGACCGCAGTTCGTGTCCTGGACCCGGGCGCGTGTGCGTGCGTGCCCAAGATCCTGAGAGGAGAATGGAGAAGAAGGGATTGCGGCATGACCATCCCCCCTGGGGGGTGATTTCTCGCTTTCTGTCTCTATGTCTCTCTCTGTCTGGCGAGCGCACGCGCCCTACAGTGAAAATCTCTCCAAAAAAAAAAAAAATGGAATCTGTGCCCAAGGAAATAATCACAGATGCGTGCATAAGTTCCCCTGCGAGAACCTTCGTTCATTCAGCAGTTCTTACTGACCACTGTGTGTGCCAGGCCCGTACTGGTTGTGGAGGGACAGTGGAGAAGAATCATTCCCCACAGCGTTTGCATTGAGTAGGGAGCTGACACAAAGCACCAGCGCTTTGCAAATCAGTGCACTTGGAAACAATCTGAGGTCAACAGTGCAGGCGTGCTCACACCAGTTAGCGTTTATCCCTCAGAGCATGCTGTCCAGTAGGGCTTTTCTTTAGTGATGAGAATGTTCTCTGTGTTGTCCAGTATATGTGGCTTATGCCACTGTAGAGCTGAATTCTTAATTTTATTTCATTACAGTCGATCTAAGTTTAGCTTAGCCACTTGTGGCTAGTAGTTACTGGGTTGAACATCACAGCCTTAAAACCTAAACAACGCATTAAGCAGGGAAGCATGTGTTAGTAGAAGAGGGCATGTCAGGACGGGCAGGTGGCGTGGTGGTTAAGGGTGCTGGACTCCCACATGGCCAACTGTGGTTTAAGTCCCGGACCTGGCAGCTTGCTTTCTCTCTCTCTCTTGCTCTCACTTTCTGGTCAAATTAAAATAAATAAAGTAAAATGAAAAATAACTCTTTTTTTTTTTTTTTAAAGGAGGGGTCATATCTACATCACTGAGTTTAAAAATGGAGATTGTGGGGCCAGCAGGTGGTGTAGTGGTTGAGGTGCTAGACTCCCATGTGTCTGGCCATGGTTCGAGTCCTAGACCTGGCAGCTTGCTTTCTTACTTTCTGTCTCTCTCTCTCTTGCTCTCTGGTCAAATTAAAAAAAATTTTTTTTAATTATTTAAAGGGAAAAAAGGAGATTGTAAAGCAGTATGTAAGTACAGTGCCATTTTTGTCAGAAAAAAAAAAAACAGATTAGGGGCCAGCAGGTGACGTAGTGATTACATCCTTGGACTCCCACATGGCCGACTGTAGTTCGAATCCTGGGCTAGATGGCTTGAGAATCAACACTGGCCATGTGTGTGTATGTGCCCAAGATCCCAGGAGGAGAAGGGATTGTAGCCTGGCCATCCCCTGGGGGAAGATTTCTCACTTTCTGTCTCTCTATCTCTGTCTCTCCAGAGAGTGCACGTGCCCTATAGTAAAAAATCTCTCTTAAAAGGAAAAAAGAAATGATAGCATTAACAGTGGTTATTATAGGTTTTTTATCTTTTTAAAAATTTGTTATAGGGTGCAGGTGTTTGGGGCGTGGGTAGGGGTGGGAGAGAGAGAAAGTACTCTTCAGGGGCGATGGCCATGCCACAATGCACCTGCCTCTATTCTCAGGATTTGGGGTATGACACATGTGCACCCAGCGTGTTCTTCAGGCTGCAGCGTCCAGGACTCCAAGTGTGCAGCTGGCCATATGGGATCCAGCCGCCTTCATTGCTGTGCCTCCTGCTGGCCCTCGTCTTGGTTTCCCAAGTTTTCTAGCTCTTACTGTTTTTTCACACTAGTGATTAATCATTTACTGCTGATTTTACAGGAGCTCTAGTTCCAGTGAGCCTGTTCAAAAGTACCATTGGGGGGGGGGGGGAACCAGCAGTTAGCGTAATGGCTATTGCAACGGACG